CTTTCAACCACTTCTTAAACTCCTTAGTACACCTGACCGAAAAGTGATCCCTAGAACGCTCGCCTTTGTGCATAACAATGTTAATGTCAACCCCACTATGCATGGACCCTGCCACTTACTCCTGCATACCACTAGATCCTTTCAGAGATTTTCCGTTAATTCCCTTTCTCCTTGTTATACACACAAGTGAACATCCATCTAATATTGCTCCCCTCATCTCTGAAAATACAGGAAAGGGTACACCTGCCACTGAAATAGTCCTCACAGAAGCATTGGTTGCCCTTCCACATAATGATACTGCCCTCGGAAGCCCCACAAGTGGGCATCTACCTCTACTCAATGTTCATTCCCTTCCATAGACTTCTAATAATTGTCACATTTACATTTTCCAGCTTTGATTCTTGTAGACAGAAAATTTCCGGCTTCCATCTAGTCAGGCTGCCATTAATCACCAGTCTTTTCTTTGGATCGTTGAGGCCCCTCACATTTCAAGAGATAATTCTTCCTGTCATTATCAAAATATATTGGATCTCCTTCCTCTCCCCCTTTTTCACTCCATCTTAATTGATTGATGAAACCAGACTTCTCAATTCGCTCGAAACTTTTGTTCCACCTCTCATCTTTTCAGGTTTTTTTATGCTCTCCTCTAGCTCTTTCTCCCGCCTACTTCTATCTATTTCCCGAAATAATTCCATCACCATAGCTTCAAACCCAATGAAGCCAACCCCAACGAATCCACTAAGCCCTTGGACATTTCCAAGTACCCATTTTGACTCCTCTTTCCCCAACCCATTTGCCATATTATCCGAGGCAATGGCCCCCACTGGTTCCACAACAGCTTGAATTGCTAACTACATCTGTTCCTCCAAGACCTAGCTCACGTCATCTGAGGATCCAACCTCCGCTTCCTCTATCCCTCTCTCTTGGTCTTCCAACTCTCGACCAACTTCTGTCATCATCAAACCGTCTCTATATCTTCTACAATCTCCCCACTTCTGTTTTCTCTGCATGCTTCTCCACCACATTCAAAATATTCTTCAATTCTCCATCTACTTTCCTCTGTCTCGCCTACAAAACCCATATCACCACCGGTCATCTCAAGTGCCATCAGAGACTCAAAGGCAATGAATGAATCGGGCCACCATTCTCCCTTTCTCGGCAAGCTACACAGAGATTTCAGGAACTCACCTTTCTCTTGATAAACATCGCCTGTGAACTTTGCCTCGTAAACCCTCCTGTCTTCTCCTGTTTCCTTCTTCTTGCTCATCTTTGCGCCATCGATATTGTAACGGATTCCAGTGAAATGAAACCTATTCCCCGCCTCCCTTCTGAGGCTTCGACTTTTCACCCTTACTCTCCAAACTAGGCCAACAATCATTCATTTTTTCACCTTTAACCCGAATGATCCTTTTTGTTTTTACGTTGGGCTTAGACGAAGTTTTGGCCTGATTGTTCACTTCCCATTTGCCTTTCTCAGCCCAAGTGAGTCTCCGGCCCACTTCCATTCTTTTAGCTCTCCTTTGTTCTCCCTTTGGTCCATTTTTTGTTAAACCTCTTCCGAGTGCCTGCCAATCAAAACGATCCGTTTTGTTTCTCTTCCCTCTTCCTTAAAAAAGCAACCCTTTCTTGTCGTTTTGAGTTGTCCGCAATTGAAATTCTAGACTGGGTCTTGCATCGGGTATGGGTCTGTTCTGCCCTACCCAGATCGCACTCTGTGAGGGTTTCCCTAGTGAGTCTGCAAAGGACAAACGGTGTTTTCGCAACACCCAAACCTCAAGAACTTCTTTATAACATGGGCATCTGGCAGAGAAAGGAGTAACGAGACAACACTCCTGTGCTATGTTCCCCATTAGGGCAGCATCTTTCCCTTTTATCCAGTCTGGTGGTACAAGCTGTACTCCAACCACCTCGCGGATTACTTCATCATTTCCCACTAACTCCATGCCTTTTCACCTTCGGTTAGAAATAATCGATTCCATCTACCTCTTCCATTCGTATATCCTTAAGAAAAAACAAGAAATTTCCCTTCCTGAATCAAGCACACCACCAATCGGAGGAACCGATTCCTGCTTTCCCTGCACCTTCCCCAACCACCCTCGCTCTTCTCCCATCTAAACTACCTGAAACTCCTCATTAACCAGTCAGCATCTTCCTTCGAGAACAAAATCGATTTTTTAAAACCTCTACTATTGTTGAATATTCTCACTCCATCTCCTTCCCCCACCACATCGAACGATTTTTTCAAATCTGTAAGAACTTTCTCAAGCCAACGAACATGCCCACACACTCTAATGTTGCCGCGCACGGCGGCGGAGGCGGCGACGCTCTCTAGGTTTCTCCCTAGGTTTCAGTCTCTAGGTTTCGCAACTTATGATTAGCACCTAGGTTTCGCTCTCTGCTTTCCATTCTTCTTGCATAAAATTATTTTATTTCTATGCTAATATTGTTTTCTGTCATCTGAGTGTTTGCTTGTTTCTTATTATAAACATATGTTTAACCAATGGCCTGTATGCTCATTGGTATAGCTCCATTGGCACCCCCAAGCGGGGATTTGGGGTGTGTGTGTTTATGCGTGAGGGGGGAGGGGTTTGGGCTGAGCTATTAACGAAAAAGAAAATAAAATTATTCTAGCTAGGTTTTATTTTGTTTGAGCTCTGTATTTGCCCATGCTGAAGGGATTTCAATAAATAGATGGCTTTTCTTTATATTAATTTCAGCTTTGTAATAGCTGGAAGAGAGTTATGTTCATTAAATGTGACTGACTGAATGATGTCTGTTTTATTAAAGAGTTATATTAATTTTCTGCAGTTTATTGGAACTCCACATTGGATGGCTCCAGAAGTTATCCAGGAAAGTCGCTATGATGGAAAGGTAAAACATCTCTTCGGTCTCTTCTGATTTTATCTTTCTTTGGGATGTCCTCTATTCTTCACTATTTAAGGGCTAATATTTAGTTTGAAGTTGGTTCGCACAAGTAAAGTTCTCTGCTGTATGAGATTTATTGCTTTTGCTTATGCTTCAATCTTAGATAATGATAAATATATGTTATTTGCGCTAGCTACCAATTTTTTTCTTTTTGGATTTGTCATTGGCATATTAAATAATTTTTACTCATGAATCTGGTACTATGTATTATGTGAAAGCAAAAGTGAAATTCACTTTGCTAGCTTATCATATTCTCATTCAGTACCTTTCTCTCTTATTCCCATACTAATATTTTTCTTTCTTAAAGAAAGCATCGCCTTTTCATCCTCTAGTTTGACAGAGGTCATAGCTGTAACTTTGTTACCATTGCTGAAAGTTTTCATGTGGATGAGCAACAGGTTTAACGTAATATATGAATCAACTTCATGCCAATGTACAGGGATATGGAGAAAATGAGTGCCAGAT